CACAAGACAGGCTTTCTCTAGGCAGCCTTATGGATTTGATCGCTGGATGAGGCACCGCCATGGAGTGTTCTCACACATTAGTAGAGCCCCTTTGCCCACGCTGCCTTTCTCTCTATCCTCATTCAGCAGTTGAATTGTCAGCCTAGCAGACCTATCTCAGTAGCTTTTCAGTCATTGACCTTCTTGAAGAATAATGATTTCAACCGCCTTTCTGAATTCCTTCACACCTGCAGCCGGGCTTTTGTTCCATTGCACGACATCCTGTGAACGGAGCACACCAACAATCGTTGTGCCATATTAACAAGTGCCTCTGGCCTAGATTTGGGATGTTCCCTATGGATTCCCAAGTCTGTTGTACTACAGGTGTGTGATTCTAGTAAAAATTTGCAGCTACTATATGGCAAGCAGTGATTACCGCAAAGTGAATGATGGCATGCACTGACCACTGTGGTTTCATGCTCAACCTGTCTCTACATTGTATCTGCCCACAATTTCACACAGAGGAGGCAGAATCTGCTTTTTCATCCTGATTATCATATGAATGGTAGAGAAGATGATCAAGAGAGTAAGAGCAGTGAGGCATTCGTAAAATGAAAATCAGTGCTGCTTGGAACCTCAACTCCTGACTCCCTCCACTGTGGTACCAAATCTGTATTGCTTTCCTTACCGTTTTAGATAGCACCCTGCCTGCTGAGAAGATCTGAATAAGTAATTTTCCTCTTCCCTGATGAAGACTGGATGAAGAGCAAAACCGTTTAGTAAGCTTCTGCTACTCAACAGCGTAGGTACCATGAAATAGATGCCATTCATAGGAATAAACAGACACATCACTAATGATCTTATGTAGTGTAACAAAACAAGCTGCAAAGGCAGTTACTGTTATCAACAGCGTAGGTACCATGAAATAGATGCCATTCATAGGAATAAACAGACACATCACTAATGATCTTGTGTAACAAAACAAGCTGCAAAGGCAATTACTGTTAATTTGGAAGCAGAAGGGCAAAAATCACATGTACCCTAGTAAGTTAAACCCAGACACTGTTTTTTAAAAATCTGAACAAAGATAAACGTTTTGAAATGCTACATGATACTGCCTTCTGTGAGGTGCATTAATTTAACAAGTATTGCTTAATCAATTAAAGATAAAAATAATCTGATTGGCAACCAAGTGAGACTTGGTCTTTGAAAAGACATAAATAGGCCTTTTACACATTAACTTTCTAAAGCTGTCAAGTTGCATGTACTTTCTTGCTTTAAAGATAAAAAAAGCAGCAACTCCCTGCAGCTTTTCAGCCCCAAACTAAAGTATTACAGAGTGACTTTTCGTCTAGAGAATGTTAATGAAAGTTGCTTTGTGTTTAGACACAATGTGAGACTAATCTTGGCAGATCACACATTCTGCTGCTGATTTACCTTTTTTTCCTTCAGAGACTGCAATGATATTGTAGGGTTACTTCAGTGCATGTTCCAAACCTTTGTTGCACAAACCTCAAGGGCCTCTCATCCAAATAATGAAGATGAGCAATGAAGATCTGAGCCAGGATGGAAAACTGAGAGAATATTTTTAGATAAAACATACTGAAGACCATTTGAAAAGATTTAATCGCAGAATTTAACCCCTCCCAGCCCCTATCTCTATGTCATGGTGATATCATTAGCTACAGTTAGCCTTACATTTTGACATCTCAGTTTAAATGCTTGTGGCCAAATGATACTAAAATTGGAAACCAAGAACTCCTTCCTAGTCCTGCAATCCACAAGGAAGCTGATGACCCTTCCAGGAGAGAGTAAGAACTAAGTAACATGCACTTTTGCTGTGCACTTTGCTGGGACAGGAGGCGGAGAGATTTTTGAATGAGACGGGCGAAGAGCAACTTTTTGCTGCAGTATTTTCAGCCAGACTTTCAACAACCTCCATGATGAAACAGGGCTATCTATCTTACTTGGAGAGCAGTGAAAGAATAAATTAGGTCCTTGGGTTATGTCTGTTTGGCTACTAATGACATGAGTTCCCCTAGAATTTTCATCTACACAGCCATCACTGGCTGCCAAGCAAAGACATCGCTTCGAAACAATCCGTGTGCTACGTATTGCACAGCAACAGAATGCCAGTCTCTGCCAATACTTGCATGCGTTTTGGTGGACCTGAGAAAGTTTGAGTTGGATCTGAAATGGCTACTGCTCTGAAAAAGAGTGACATTAAATGTTATCCACTAAGGAATTTTTAAAGCAAGGCAGATATAATTAACCATGTTTGTATACCACAAACTTCTAGACAGCATAGAAAAAGTGTTATGCTACAGCTAAAGAGTCAACAGCTGGAGGGTTAAATATGTTTATTTTAGTAGTGTAAGGTGGTTTTACAAACAAATTTTTAGATTTTGCAATATATACAAAAGAATCATTACAAACAAAAGTAAAATATCCTCTCAATAACAGGGACTCTATGCAGCCTGAAATAAAATTAAACCTCTGTTTCTCTTTAAAATGCATCTCAGTAAACATTCTTCTCCATCACTGATAAAATCTACATCTCTGATAAATGACATAATAATTGGGGGGGACAGACAATACAACATCTCTAAAAATAAAAAGTAAAAAAAAAGGGGGAGGAAAACTTATTATTCTGTTTAGGTTGGTATTTAATTCTAAATATGTCCATCTAAAAAATTAAATATATCTTTTTTAAAAACATATAATTGAAAATTTTGCATGGCAGTGCAATACAGAAATAGTAAAATTCATCCAAAAAGTGCTATGTACAGCAGCATTGTTAAAATACCATAAAGAAGGGATGGTGCTGTTTCCAAGAACAGACTAGCATGCTTTTTAGCCATTTCTGAATTAAAGTCAGAAGGTATTTCCTGTCTGTTTTCAGTAATTCCCTTCTCTCTCCTGTCTCATTCCCACAGATGATGTTTTGAGACAAGGAACAGTCACAGTTCAGTTTAAGTGTGTGCATGTGTATGTATATGTGCAGACATATATTTGCATACACACACATGTATATGTATATATTTATATATATAAACAAGCTTGGTTTAGAAAAAGCATTGCTTTGGAACATAGTGAGAGTTTTTCTTCAAAGAGTGAGACAATATGGATTTTCACTGAAATAAACAGCTCCACAATGGAAGATGGACTTTATCTCCTATATGATTAATTCATGAAATAATTACACTGCAATTTTGAGTATTTCCCAGAGAAGACGTCCTCAGAGGCCTCAAACTCTTCCAAAAAGTAAAATAGAACAGGGAGCATCATTTAAAATCCAGTTTCTTTTCACAGATCCACAATCTGTAAGAGCAAAATTTACCTTAGCTGTTGTTAACATCACATAAATGTTTACCTATTATAAGAAGCAATTACTGAAATTAGTAAAGAACATGAGATTTGCACAGAGCAAACTGCAAATGTAAGTTGTCAGACACAGAGGAGGCCAAATTTGAGGCTGGGAAAAGTGTAATGGAAAAAAAAAAGAAGATCAGATCGTTAGGACTGTAAAAATGTAAGTCTTTGATATCACTGGATTGTTCTGTTTCCGCAAACTGCTGACAAATTTAACACTCATCTATTCTTTTGGAGTCATGATATTAAGTACCCTTACAATCAAGGGAAGGCCAGGAAGCACTAAACCATATGAGGATATTTTCTGCCTCTCAGGTTGCTATGTTTTGTTTTGACAGGAATGTAAACATTGCCTTGTTCAGTGCTCCCCAGAATTACAGTTTCAACATAAAGAAGACTTCTGTGTCAGTGTTATAATCAGTTTGGTTCTTAGGCTGGGATGTAAACATGGCAGGAGAAGCTATATCCATACAAACTGCTTTTGCAACGCTGCAGGCTCCCTCTGGATTTCCTCTCTCCTCAATGGGACTCCCACTGAGCTGGCCTAGGCTTTGCAGCCGCTGTCTCTCCTGAGCTTGCTTAGCCCTGTTGGCAATGTACCGCACCCGACTCTGACTCCGAGATGAAGACCTGCGAAGGAGTCCCAGGCTCTCCCCTTCCTCTTCAGATTCAGTTGGATCAAGACTGATGGGGGAAGTGATTCTGCTGAAAGGCTGTCAGCTTCTTTAGCTGCTCAGTTAGTTCATCCTGGGATTTGACTGAGGATCTCAGGCCTGAAGAGCGGCGCTGCTCCCGCATTGATCGAGTGACAAAACTCCTGCTGATGCTACGGTACTTGCTTTCAAAAGTGCACACAATATCATCAGAGGTAAGGTCTCCAAGACTCTTGGATTTTGCCTGGTTATTCCCAATCATATCATGTGCTTTGGATTTGTTAGAAGACTGTTTGAGACTTTCTATGTACAGCCTGCTCCAGGTATGCCTTCTAGGAATGGATGAAAATGCGTCTTGAGGGCTCCTGGCAAGAGGACGAGGGCACAATTCATCTGCTGGCAGCTGGCCAGACCTCAGGTTGGGATTGGATTTGCTCTTGCTCACCGCTGGCATGTCGTTACTGGATGTTGTAGCAGATCGTGGGCGCATACCCTTTCTGATGGCAAGTGGCTCAAAGTTTTCGTGACGGATCCCAAGATCTGGGAGGCTTTTGCGAGCTAGATTGGGTAGAGAGAGATCTATCACAGTGTCATTGGAGGACATGCTGGAAGAGGAAGACATGCTGTCACGATGATTGCTGCAATCTAGCTTGCTCCAGATCCGGTCATTAACAGTGGCATCAAAATATACTTCTGCTGCTGGAGACAGGCTACTTGGAATTTTTATTAAGGCTGAGGAGTCTGGCATCTTCAGTCCTTCAGTCTTTGACCTTCTTACTAACATGCAAGAGCTCGTCTGAGAAACACAAACAGGTAGAGCCTGTGCAGCCTGGGCTTTCTGGAAAGTATCTGGAGGCAAAGTTGTCTGTGTGCTGTTAATCCCATTGTTTCGCTGCAGTAGAACAGCTGCTGCACCCAGTTTTTGCCCTTTGGATTCAATGGTGCTTTTCATGTCTGTTAATACCTGACCTGGTTGGTCATTTTGCTTCTGGCAGTTTTCAACAGGTTGGCCAGCAGTCTTACCTGCTGCCACTACCAGCCAGGCTTTTTGAGGGTGCACTGCCAATGCATACTGATCTTCAGGTTTACTGCATGCCTGTGTCCAACCATTTTCTTCTTTGAGACGTCCTGCCGTGCTTGTTCTCTCATCTTCTTGGACTACTGAACTTGTGTCAGCTGCTCTTGTGACAACCTCCACTTGGTCTTCTGCAGCCAGATTTGTTCTTTGTTCTCTAGTTAGTAGAGATTCTTGAGGCTGGTTGGATGTGCTGCTTACTTCTGATCGAGATTCGGTGGAATGATCAGACACAGACCCTTCTTCAGAGTCACTGTAAGGAGTAATGGGTAGAGGGAAGAAAAGGCTGGCATGATGGTTTTCATTGGCAATAACAGGCTCTTCAGTGATAGTTTCTAGGCTGCATAAAGAAGTGACTGACCTCTGTATTGAGAAATGGCAGACATCTACTTGGGAGACATGAAAAGATATGGAAAAGAAAGAAACAAGAAAAACAGAGATACAGGGTTAATTAGCTATTACAAGTTGCAGTTTGGCTGAAGATTTCTTCTTTATGTGTTATCATTTTGTTTTTAAGGGAGCAGTTGCTATATTAATCATATTTTATTTATCAATATTAATCATGATTTTTAAAATAACTTATGATTTCAAACACCTGGCTAAAGGCAGCAAAAACTTCTGCTCATTCAATTTTAGCTGCCCAAAAGGCCTGTTGCTTTCAGGAACTCTCAGTCCACACATAGTAGCACCATATTACTTTTCTGATTATCTTATTCAAACAACTGTACCCATCAATTTCTTTGTGTCCTCTCTCATAAACTAACTTTTCTTCCTCTACCATCCAGCATCACTTGATTTGCTCTTCTCCTTCCATCCAGCACTCAAACATGTCAGTATATCAGATCATAATCAGATCGTGTATAATAATCAGAGCGTCACTGCCCAGCCAACAGATATGATCCCAAAGAGAAGCAGCACAGGACTTCTGGAGCAGATGATGTGTATGTGTACAATGGAGTGTAGTGAATGTGCCTTTTAAAAACAAAACAAAAACTTTTAACAGCCTAACTTTGTTTTCCTAAAAAAGTTTGTAAATTCTTTTCCAAAAAACTACCCAGACGCATGTTTCACGAACACCAGGCTGACAGTACCATCCTGAAGAATCACTACGGCCACCAATTACCTGAAGAAAATGCTCGATCTGTCTGCGATGTTTATAACCTGTACCCTAAGAGCCAAAACAATCATGCCAGAAAGACTGTTTTCCACATCTCCAAACCACAATGCAAACATGCATTCAAGAACTAGCAAAGCACCACTGAGCCAGACAAAAACTTTAAGAAAATAGGACTCGAAAATTATAAGGCAGGAAACAAATAAAAACCGGAACTACAGGCAATAAGGTGCTTGAATCAGTGACACTCAATAGACAGTTACCTTTGGCTTGCTTGTCCTTTCAGTTCTTAACTACAGAGAGAGAGTGTGCATGTAGAATAATAGGACAGAACAGAGGAAAAATCCAGTTAATGTAGGGAAGGCAGGTGCAGATAACAGGATAAATTAGTGCTGAGGGAGGGAAGGGAAACAGACAGAAATATTCACACATTTTTGTAGGATCCTAAGAATTTCTGATCAACCAGAGCACTCAGTGGAATCCATAAACGGACGGACATTAAGTCCATTATTTTGTCATAGAAGAATGAAAAGCAATTTTTACTATTGTTCAAGAAATGCACTCCACTGGACTGGGGAATGGAAGCTAGCCTCCTCGTCTCCAAATCCTTCTCCTAATGCTATGGAAAACAAATTATCTGCATTACCAAAATATGCCAAGGAAATATTGGGCCTTTCCTTTCAGCACTGGTATTTCCAATCCAGCATAGTGACAAGAAGCTTAACAATGAAGACAGCCGGTCAATGGCCTGTGTTACAGTGGTTCGGAGTGTTAAAAGGGAAGAAGCCCCATGTGCCCATAAGCAAAATCCACCATGGACAACACAGCAGACTTTTCAGTATCTGGAGGGGCCAGTCCAGAGCTGCTCAGACTAATGAGCTCTCCTTCTCCCCATCCAGGCTAGGCCATCAGCATAGATTAAAGCACACTTACGAGGCAAAATATTGGAAAGTGTAATGCTGCTGCCATAAAGAGGGCAACTAGAGACTATAGTTTCCTGTCTCATCCTTGTGGCACTTCCCATCAACAGAATGTTAATTATGAAATGCAGCCATATTAGGCTAACGTTATTGGTTTCCTTGGTTTCTTGGCCCAAGGCGCTAAAATAGCAGGCGGATGGGGAAACCATGCTGTTTGTGCAAACATAGTGTTTGTCACTGGATCATCAGCATCCAGTCCAAGTGACTACTTCACCATTTTAAAGGTTTGCTGATTCCATGCTTGAGAAGTCAGATGGATTTAATCAAATTTCAAGCATATCACAATATTTATTTAGTGACTTGGGGGGCTGGCAGGGGAGCTGGCACTGATAATGGGAAATAGTTTCATATGTCACACTACTCAGAACTTATGAAAAGCCTAATGCCAATAATTTAGGCATAGAAAGAGTTCTGCTGCTTTGGATTAATTTCAAGTCATGGGAACCGGCAAACTTCTCCCCTCCCATTCCCATTGTCCTGGTATTTTCCTAAATGCTCAAAGCAGATACTGGAAAAATAATGTAAGAAAAGAATAAAAAAAGAGAAATAAAGAAAAACTGTAGACACCCAACCAGACTAAACTGATCAAACAAATAGAATATTTTAAATTTGTGTATGAGGCTTTCAAAGAAGCTGTCTATAGGTGGGCAGTCAGAATCTATTACTAAAAAAGGGGTTACATCTTAAGAAGCACCAAAATCACTTAACTGTTCCTGAAAATGTAACCATCAATGTCCAAATTCTTGGACAATTAAGGGGGAAGGGGAAGGATTTGAAGAGAAGCTCTTGTAGTCCTAGACAAAAGCTGTATTTCTTTACTTCCTCTTCACAATTCTATGAAACAGAGAAAATCTTGTCAAAATCTCTTCCCTTCCCTCCCCTCCCTGCCAAATCAGGAGAAAAAAAAAGCCAATTTCCTTATTAAAATATATACCTTGATTGCCTCTGTTCCTGTTTTCCATCTTTACAAATATACAGTTCATGAGTAAAGATAGAGTCACGTGGTCCCAGCGACCATGTGTATTTTTGGCTTGAAACAACTATAAAATGCTGTAGCTGAAGCAGCCTTCCTTTGAACGGACACATTTTACTTTGCACTTGGGAAATGCTAACAGTCCACCTAGCTTGGCTGATGTCAAGTAACATCAGATCACATGCCTCGCTTCTTTATGTTATGCAACTGTGCCATCAGGTGACAGTCAAATCAAATGCATAACGTTAAGCACATCTATAAATGTTTGGATACTGGGGATTTATACATTTAGAACCAGAATGGTCTACTATGTTCATAAAAAGTGATCTCTTGAGTAACCCAGACCAGAGAATTCCATCCAGTAATCTCTGAACTGATGGCAGTACTTTTGAAGTTCTTTGAGGAAGGGACTGGTTTTATTGTTAGCAGAGTGCACATTAGACAATTTCTGTTGTGGTTATCCCTCAGTAAAACACAAATACAGATAACAGAAATATTGTTTGTTAATATGGGTTTCAATCTCTACTTAATGCTCTGGTTTGGATCTTAAAATTTACTTAGTATCATACCACATTCACTAAAAAAAACCCAAGGAAAAAAAAAACCCTTAACAAACAACCCAAACATTCATGGACTATTGACAGTTTGTTTCACTACTGCAGATGGTCAGCTAGGCATGGAAAGGACTAATCTAAACCAGACATGTCTAGGAAGAAAATAAAATAAAAATATTTATGCAGACTTTTTTTCTGTCGTTGCCAAAAACAAAGAAAAAAGAGCTCTTGATAGCAAGACAACATACAGGAGCTTCTAAGTAAAGATGCTATGCAGAAGCTGAGACAACGATGTGATCTAAGGTGGAGAAGGGTGAAGAAAATCTGGTCTTACCAGTAAAGAATATAGGGGATTTACTTCGAATTTCCTCCAATTTTTGAACAAACAAGGCGTTCATTTCCCTCTGTAGGGTGCCCACTTGCCTTCGAGAAGTTTCAGACCAGCGCTTGGGGAATTCTGGGCTTCCAAGGCTTTCTAGACTGCTGGAGTTGGAGGATATACAGCCATTGCTGGCTGCAACCAAGTTGACAGTGCTTCCATACTTGCCACCTGATTGGCACTGCCACCGCTGCCGGGAATGAGCCTTTATTCCGTGACATTTAGATTCACCATTTTTCTTCCCTGGGGTCACAAAAGACTGGGTGCTCCTTGTTAGATCATCGGCAGTTCCAGGGCTGCTGCAAGACTGCAAATCTGATTGCCGCCTGGGCTGACCTTTAACACCCCAGTTTTTTAGCTCTAACCTCTCTTCTCCAGTTATACTGCTATACTGATCATGGTGAAGGATATCTTTAGCAATAGGCCTGGTAGGATGATCACTCCACTTGCATTCTAGATCTGGGCTTTCTTTGGAACCAATCATGCATTTCATGCAATTGGTGGCCACTCCAATCCTACCAGAGCTGTTGATGGCACAGCGTGCGAAGACGCTTTGCTTCTCGCTCTGGTGCTCCTGAAGCCGGACCCTGTTAGACCTCTGTATGGGTTCACTGAAAGCAGCACCCCCTTGAGCCCCTTGGCTTTTGGCTTTACGAGAACCATGGGCCTTACCTTTCAATGCCTTGCCGTGTACCTCCTCACTGGCACCATCTCGGGGAGCTGGTGACAGAGAGGGACTTTCTGGCTCTTGCTCAAAGCGAGGCTGTGAGGCAGCTTCCACTTCACAGTCTTCACCGGCCCCTTCAGAACTGTTGTCTTTTGTGTCAAAAGCAATTTCAGGAAAGCCCTTCTTGTTCTTCTTCTGGCTTTTGGTGGGTGCACTGGCTGTCCGTCTCAAGATGTGGCTGCTAAAGGAATGTTTGCGATGGAGCTGACCAGCAGCATGACTGTCCAGAGAGGCCTGCTTTGGATTTCTGAGAAAGAGGCCTTTTAGACCTAGAGCTTGTTTGGCCTGGAAAATCAAAAAAAAAAAAAAAAAATTAAAGAAAAAAAAAAGAGAAGTCCTTAATAGAAAATGCAAGTCTCTTCCTTTGGGCACAGGAACTCATGTACAAATGATCAGTTCACATATGCACACACATACAGAGTCTCCTGCCATATTCCTGTCATCAGCAAGAGAACTAAACCAAAAATAGACAGAGATTTAAAACAAAAAAAATCAGTAGCAGCAGCTTTGCAAAATTTCACATCTTTTTTGCAGAACTATGTTTTTAGATAAAATTTTCCAACCAGGCTTATCTCTGTATTTTCATAATTTTCTTACTTATAACAAAAACATTAGAGATACTGGAAAAGTAAAAAAGAGAAATACTTCTGTCTACAAGGATTTCATTCTGAAAGCTGAAGAGTTTGTCAGTGTGTGTTAAAAGCCACAAAGCTTGAGGTATTCATAACGCCACACATTTCAGACTCTTTAAGGCTAAAGTCAGAGTGCTTCCTTTTTGGCAATACAAGCTTTCTGAGACTGTGGTGTTTGGTTTTGTGGGGTTTTGTTGGTTTTTTTTTTTTTTTTTTAAACACAAAGCTCTGTGAGGTACAGGTTGGTTTTCCAATACAATGTGCACATTTAAAACAATTCTGTCCCAACAGTTTAATGTCATGGATATACTGCAGAACCTGGAGGAGGCATGGGAAATCAATTCACTACAGGAATCCAAGGATAGGTGGAGACTTGCAGATTTGTCACAAACTTAAGTCTTTTCTTTATGTACGCTACTTGGAAATGAACATAAATCTACTCCTGAGCATGTAAACCAATCCCCAGCCCCCCTTAAGTTAAGATGCAAGTTTCCTAGATTCCCAAAGTCATCAACTAGAATAGCAGTACTTCTCCAAGGGCAACATGGAACAGTTAAAATAGGTTCTGGCTCCGAACCACCTCTGCAAGGACCACCACTGGTTATAGAGGGAGAGTACAGAGACCAGCTTTCTAATCTGGGCACCCAAAGCGTACGTACGTGGTGTAAATACTTCCTCTGAATGGCCACGGAGGAATTAGTACAACCTAGCTTCCACACTGTGAATTCACGTTCTAGCAAACTGTGCTCTACCAGGAAATCCTGAACAAGGCTTCTGCATCACACAATAATAAAAATAAAGCAATAAATGCGGCAAGCTTATGTTATCTTAAAGTTTTCTATCATAACTTTGGGAAGGCCCCAATGCTAGTAAAGTCCAGCTGGAAAATGCAGTAGTTAAAAAAAAAAAATTAAGCATGTTTTTCAGTAAAATAAATCACCTGCAGTTTTGTAGACTTAAACACATTAGGACTGGGCCAGTTAGAATTGCTGGTGATTTCAGTTAAATTGGAAACATAGAGCTAAATTATCCACCTTGGGCAGAACCAGACACCAGATGCTGTCAAATCTGATTTTTCCTGTCTCTTAAACTGGAGATAGTGACTAGCACTCATACTTCAGACAAGCAATTTGTGGCATGGAACAGAGGTCCCAGCTCTGGAACAAAACTAAATGCTCTGAGCAAAAGAGAAGTAGAAACTAAAAAAAAACCCTAAAAACAACCAAAACACAAAACAAGCTATAGAACTGGTGGCAATTTTAAAAAGTTACTTTAAAATAATTTTAATTTTACTTGTCATGCAACATGAGGTGGTTACAGAATTTAGCTGATAGTGACCTCTTAAGCTAAAGAATATTCTTGACTTAAAACAGATAATAATAAATTGGTTCTTCAAATGGAGATTTGCATTCTTTAGGAACTGTTGGGAAATAAACAGTGGACAGAAGAATATAGTATTTTTTTCAGTATAAAGGAGATCCACTCATCAATTAAATTGAGCACTGTCATGAATAGCACTTGAACTACACACATGACAAATGATCATCAAGTATTTCGCTTTCTACCTATGTGATTACATTTTGATGATTTCCTACCATACAACACTTATCCAAAGACATTCATGCATGTTGTCATCACTGAAGAAACATACTATAAAGAAGCAAAGTTAATCAGGGTGATAATACAGTACTTCATACACTTTCATGCTTATTTAAGCATTAAATATATATATTCACCATCAGAAATCTCCCACCATCATACAATTGATTTACATTTCAGCAAAACAGAAAATTTCAGCATTCCTGTAAACATTCCAGGTGTACTTGCCAACTTTTAAAGCAACAGGCTGATGCCTGATACAGAGTACATTGGTTTTGCTCTGGATGTAGAACCTCGTACTTACAAATCACTTAAAGCAGAGAAAGGTATTTCCCTTCTAATCTACTTCTCCTCCTTTGTTCCCTTTATTTCCCAGTTAGATCAGACTCTCTTTAGTAGCTGTAGCATACAGAATGAATAAAAATAAATAGAGTATGTAAGCCTATGATTGAAATGCATTGTAAGAAACCCATGATAAAATTTGATCAACATCCATGCTTGTTGGCACTTGCTGTCAGTTCAATTTTTACCCTGTAATGTCAGGCGAGGTCACATTTCTGCAGTGCCAAACAATGGAACAGAAATGTCTCATTTAAATTACAATGGTCTATCTTTCACCCCAAAATATTTGAGTGCATACTCACGCATTTCAAATTCTGCTTGGTATGACTTAATGGGTAGATATTAGCTGGACTGTACAGTAAGCCTGTGATAAAAGCTGCTTTTATTCGTAAGTGTCCTGTGCAATCCAGCACATAGGATCAAGGTTTATTTGTATGACACAAAGCCCAGTGAAAGCATTCAGAATATTATTTTTATAATTGACTGAAATTTAGTCACCACATGCCAAGATCCAGTGTGAGGAGGAGATGATTAAAAAGAGACCTAAAATGGACTTTAAAATTATGTACAGGATAAGATAAAGAGGGTAGGGGTTGATTTTTCCCATATGAGGCAAAGAAAATGTAATTTAAATATTAATAAACTTTCTGTGAGAGCCAGACAATGGAACAGTCTGCTTGGATCACTGTGGATTGACTTTCACTAGAAAGCTTCAAAATGAGATTATGCATTTGTTAAGAGGTGAAGGGAAAAAAGCAATCTGCTCCAATGGAGACAAGTTGGCAAGTACATGAATTTATTGCTATAAAAATCAGACAATATCAATATTTGCAAAACCCAGAAAAAATTGCCATACACACACAAGTAATATCCAACAAAAAAGAAAAGCACTGATGGAATGGGTGACACACAGTGCAGGGCCTCAGGTATCATTCTAGCTTATTTGGTATCTCTTTGTTAAGCTAGACACAGTTCTTTGAATCAGTGGAGTGATTCAAGAACCCAAAGACAAATTTTGTTAACTTAGAAAAAAAAAGTTTAAAAAAAAGGGGGGGGGGGTTGGGGAAAAGAGAGCCATTTTGACGGAGATCCAGAACATGTGCTTTCAGCTTCTAGTCCAGCCTTTACAGGGCTATTTCATTCTTTAAAGCAGACGTGAAAGACACCACAAGAGGCTTTCCCACAATTATTTAGCAAACAGTTCACTGTTAATATTCTTTTCTATTTGAAAGAAGTGGTTTAAATTATAGTACACCAGAGAAAAGACAGTAGAGGTAGAGACACAAAGAAGAGAGAAAGGGAGGGTATAGAAGGACTTTTATCCTGGATCTGCTTCATACATGGAGGGCTCTCTGGCTGATCAATGACCCAACAGAACTGACCAAGTCAAATGCCTCAATTCATGTCACATGAGTTGAAGGGCTTCAAAATGCTAATAAGGAAACATCGATGCTAATGAAGCAAGTAGTCAGAGGCATGCAGGTGTGTGGTGGTGGTCACTACACCTCCCTGAGTCAGGAGGGGGTACCTTCAAGGCGTCTAAAAACGCTCTGCTTCTAAAAGTAGACTTTTTTGACATAGAGAAGCCCACTGAAATCACAAACAGACAGAGTAAAGGCAAAATAACAGTGAGGGAGGATCTCGGAGATATGCACATCCAGAAAAGCACAATTCTGCAATACATGAATAGACTACAGATGAGACAAAGAAAAGAGTCTCCAGAAAACAGTGCAATCTGAAAGAGATTTCAGTTAAACACAAGTTAAGGTGAAAGAAATCTAAGACTCGGCTTTATCCACATTTAGAAAAAAGTCCCAAAAGGGTAATGCTTGCATTAGATTATTTGAATTAACAAAGGATAAGTAAAACCAGGTTGGTAACTGTGGTGATTTTTCTGCCCCTAATTAAGAGAGGGGAAAAGAAGAAATAATTCTAGTTTTAACAGAACTGTTAGCTGAAAAATCAAAGCAGGATATGGTTCAGAGAGACCAAAACAGAAAGGGCTGTGTAATATTTGTTCCATATTTTCCAGTAGTTTTTATTAAAAATTTTAAATTAAAAAAAAACCCACCCAACACATACAAACTTTCCTTCCAAATCCTTGTACTTTAATCACATCAGTGCACAGCACCAGCATCTTAATGCCAGCAAACCCAAAGAGACTGCAATGATAATGAGAAGCAATAAGGGATATTTAACAGACTTCGAACATGAAAAGGGAATAAAGCAATCAAAAAAGCAAATCAGTGCAGCAGATTGGAAGCTAGTGGATAAGGACAGGGAGGAGACACCATGATACACAAGGGTCTTTCAGTTGTTTAAAACACACTTAACAAGAAAATCTAATGTCCTCAAAATAGCTGCCAAAGTTTAAATGGACATGTTGCCCTACTGCAAATTGTAACTATCACCATCCAGTTACTCATGAAGACGCCAATAAGACCAAATAATTATGAAAGGCTAGGTAAAGTAAGGATTAAAAGAGAGAGAATGCCTTGCAATATTGCCAAAGAGGATTTGAAGTGAAAACTCTTAAAACAGTCGTAAAGACTATGAACGTCGTCTCTTTCGTGAAACACTGCTATCAAGAGCAGTGATTTGGAAGCTGATAAAATTAACTAATCAGTGATTAAGGCAGGCAGTCTCAGTTTGCCTTTTATTTAGAAATCCCATTTGCCAGTGGATACTACGCTACAGACTTCAGCTTCCAATGAAGGATATTGAAATATTTGCTGTCCTTACGACAGTACTGAGAGAGCAGTGCAGAGGACATCACCTGAAAGTAGCAAACAACTGAAGCATCATCAATGCACACAACACTGGGAAGAGGAGGAGGATCTGCCTATTCTCCATCATTTTGACTAAGAACAGAAGAATCTACAAAACGGATGAGTAGGGCTTGCCAGGGCAGTCATCTCTGCTGGATGCGTACAGCAAATAGATGCTTGCTTTCATTAAAGAACGTAGGTGAGAGACGCAGCCACTAATCAATTCAATTCCCACTGGCCTCATGCCCAAGGCTGAGCTATCTGACTTTCTTATTACAATTATGTAGAGTTTGATAGAACTATTCAAGAAAAAGCAATAGATGTAAACACAGGAACTCCAAAGAAGTTTGTGACAAAATTTAAAGCTGTTTGAACCAGTGCCAATGCATGCATCCAGCAAGTGCCTATAAGGTTACTGAGACAATTGCATCCCTACCCACAGTCAAAACAGGTATGACTTACGTCCTATATAGTTCCCTTGAACCCAAAAATATAGTCAGGAAAGACCTTAGCATTGAAATGTTCAGCCTGCCATCGCTTTTCCCTGAAGCCTGGGACTAAATGACCTTTTTGCCATGACCTGGGTGCTAGACTTTTATTTGTGACGGGCCCCACAGTCCAAAATTAAACACTGCTCATCTGCTCTGTCCTGCTCAGACCAACACCAACCACCTCTCCTTCTCCTACAATCTTCTTGCTCAATAGAGCTAAATTCAAACAGATTCATAATGCCATCACAGGGAGTTTCAGGCAAGACTCCTAGTCCTGCCAGCATGAAGCAATACCTGCCTAGAGGTTTTGCATTAGATACCAAATAAAAAAAAAACAGGATTTGAGCTAAAATATCTAAAGTGACATACTTCCCAGAAACAGCCCTTCTTCCTACAAATACAAAAGGAAGCTTTCCTGCAATTTACCTCTGTTTCATCCCCAAAATTTTGGATTAAAATCTAGCAGTTTAAAAAGCCTCTGTCCTTTTCAAGAATTGTTTTAATTCCTCTTACATGAACAGCACCCCAAGAAAAGGAACTCAGAATTCCCAGCCTATTCAATGCCTCCTCCTGCTGTCACGATGCTGATATTACAGCTTCCTACGACAGACTGCCCAGCCTAGCATTGCCAGTGGATATGAACGGGTTTTGAGATTCTCAAGGCACTGTAAGATACTTAGCTACCTGAATCACATTGGAATTAATACAATAGAAGGAACTAAATCCAGTGCACTGCGAGGAAAGAAGCGCTCTCATTTTCAGCTGGCCTATGAAAAGTTCAAAGTTAGGGCTTTCAGCTTGCAGTTATTCATGTGAATTTAGATATAGCACTCAGATAGTTGTATTTTTCCTGCATGTGAAGCAGGCACACTCTTAACAGGTAAGCAGTGAAAATAAGTCCAACAACTATTACAAGGATCATCTGTCCTCTGCATTTTAGGTGTTATTATGGAAAACCCCCGAAGCAAATAACCCTTAACAATTTAATTAAATTTAAAACGTGAAAACATCAGGCAGACAGAGCCTTTATAGCATAAGCTTTGCAGGCAACCAGCACTCACAGTTCAGGTGTATAACCTTCTGTTCAGCAAGGTGCACTTACTGCATTGCACGCAGTCATATTTATTTATATAAATGGGTGCATGCCGCAATGAAATAACCTTCCCCCATAGCTCCCTCAAAAAGAATCTCTTTTTATAACTTTCCCTATGATTTGCCCTTATCTCTCTCTATATTCAGAAAGATCTCAGGCTACCATAGCAATCACAGAGATGAAGTTTACTCTAGTTGAACAAATATGTTAGCTTGGACCTTCACCTCCTGAGCTTCCCTAGCGTGATACAAAATCCTGTCAGTTCATTTACGTCTGCAAGCTGTATTAGATTACACTGAAGGCACTCACCTTACCACAGATATCATTAATAGCCACATGAACAAAGATGGATGCCTCTTCTATACCTTCCAGGTACACGTGTCGGTAACCTGAAACAGAGCGAACCAAGCTGACAAGGAGTTGAAACCGATAATATGGAGAGCATCTAGAGACTTTCCTCTTGGAAACAGCAGAAGAAATTAACCATTTTTTTCCCAGCTCCTCCCCACAATGAGCACCCAGGCTTGTGCATCACCTAGCCACATTCAGTTACCTGAGTCACACCACTTACAAACTTAACTGCCATTTGTTCTCATCCCTTTTATTTTATAAAAAAGCAACGTCTTGTTTTTTTCCAGTGTCGATTATTGCTGCTATCAATCTGTGACTTAAACCTGACTACCGTCTCTCTTGGGGACTTACAGTCCATTATTAATACTGCAAACATTTCGACCAAGTTCATTTTATTGAGACTGGATGTTTGTTTTCAGTGTTAAACACAACCTTTTTGCTTTACTTTGAAAGAAAATAAAAATAGCCACAGAAGAATCTTTAAGGTGAAAGAAGACTGAATTGAAAACAGAAATAGGAAACTGACAGAAAATGGCATTTAATAACCTGGATCCCATCATTAGAATAGGTAACTATCTGTTCTGTATTAAACTATTACTGATAGTAATAAGACCAGTCAAAACTCAAACATCTTTCAAAAACTGGTGTGAAGAAAATGGAGGAAAAAGCAGTATGAGGTAAGAGGAGTAAAGATTCAATATGGTAGTCTTCCAAGCCCACAATATTTAGCCATCCTGCCTAACAATCTTACCCATTTTTTGAAAATCTAGTCCCATAGAGTTAATTGATTTACTCTTCATATCATATAAGTTAGTAGTGGACCACAGTAGAGAACTCAGAGTCCAAATTCCATCTCTTGTTCTGACCAGAAATTTCTGCAGCAGACATGTGCACATACACTAATCCAGCATTTGCAGCTTCAATTATCACTGAAAAAAGATCTAGCCAACTGGGATTTGGGATTTCACCATTTCTGTCTTACCTGGCATCATACTGCTGAAAGCTATTGTTCTCTGTCCAATAAAATCGCGCCCAATTGGATCATGATCCCACACAAGGAACCGAATCAGTGCAATCTCTGGCATGTGTACTGTGAACACCAACGTTTCCTCCCACATTGGATTAAAACCTTGGAATGAAGGAATCAACTTTCAGATATTTTGTTGACAAGATGCAAGAAGAAAGAAGACTGCCTACATAAGGAATTCCTAAACTGCAATGTCATACTAGTTTTCCTAGCAGCTGGATTATTGTTCTTAGAAAATCCAGTACTCCCACTCACTT